AAGAGCCCTCAGTGCTCTTAAATGCTGAAATCTCTCTCCAGCCCTCTGTATCTAAAATTTTAATCTTTTTTGCCAACTATAGGAAGTTCATGTCTGTCATGGCATTTCAAGACAAGCCATAACTGAACGAGCTCATTTATTATTCAAAAAAACAAACACTGCTCAGGAACAATTTGCTAAAACAATTTATATTTTAAATTAGAAAGGAGGAAGTTATACTTCGATTTTTAAAAACTTCAATTTTCTTGCCTAAAACTGGGAAAAGCATAAGGAACAAGAACTTTTACCAAAATTCCTGGGTTTATATAAATACACTCGAGAGCCCAACTAATGGCTGGGTCCTGTTCCTCTCATTAATTGGAGCCAAGGCTTTGCATCTATGCTCACTTCTAAAAGGCCCTTTCTGGATCCCAGATTTACTGGTAAAGCCATACCATGAACTGGCACCAGAAGACAACAGACTGGCAATAGAAACAGACTCTCTCCTAAATTTCAACTCATGAATAGCTATCCTGGTCATATACCTTCCCCTCAAAGTGATGCCCCCTGCCTGCACCACGTTTTCTCAAGAACTGATGCATGCCACTCCTCTAGCCCACTGCCAATGACCACAGCAATGGACATGCTTCTGCTTCTGTAAACCACAGCTAATCATGTTTTGAGGGCACAGTTCTGAGAAAAATCTGAAGGAACAAGTTCTCAGAACAAACTGGGCCACCCCTCTCTTAGTTTTAATGGATACTAAGAATCAGGCTGTTTTTGTTAGGCACCACTCTAATGTGGCATTGCACCACCACAGTGTCTTACATGTGCACTTGCGCACACGTACGTGTTCAGGTACATGTGTATACACACACACACACACACACACACACACACACACACACACACAGACAACCAACTGGTCATTTAAGATATGGATCATCATTGGAATAAAAAGTAAAGTAAGCCCCAGAAATATTATAGCTCAAGTTTACAAATCCACAGAAATTGTTTGAGATTAAAAAATAATAATAGAGCTAGCTGGGCATGGTGGTGCATGCCTTTAGTCCCAGCACTCGGGAGGCAGAGGCAGGTGGATCTCTGTGAGTTCCAGACCAGCCTGGTCTACATAGTGAGTTCCAGGCCAGTTGGGGCTACAGGGAGACCTTGTCTCAAAAAGACCAAAAATAAATAAATAATAGAACATGTCTTTTCATTGGAAATATTCCATGCAGTTATTTTTCCAAAATGCAAGAAATTAATTTCATAGTTATACTTGAACTATCTCAGCTAAATTAACCTACGTTACTCCACTGCCCAAAGCACCCATTTCAAAAAGTACCTTTACCCAACTTACGGAAAATACCTACAAGGGAGAGGCAACTTTGAGTTCCAAGAAATGGCCTAACTGCAAAACCACAGGGAGTTCTAATCTAGGCCTGCACTTGACTAACTGCTTATCCCGCTTCTATAAACCTGTTTCGCCTGCCCAAGCCCGCACTCGTGCAATAACAGGCTGTTGATTGGTAAATTCAAAGTTTGCTGTGTTTGAATTTTGCTATATTGTGTAACCCTGATTGGCCCATAGATACTCTGAGCAATACTCTCTGCAATCCTATAAAACTCTAGCTGACTGGTGTTCAAGACTGCTTCTATTTCCCAACATAGACATCCTGGTCGTCGGCCGTAAATCAAAATTTTACCTTGCTGTTTTCAATTAAGTGGTGTTGGTGATTTTTATTTGGAATCCGGCCTATAACAATACTGTACCTGTAGATCACTAACATTAGAATTACTAAGTTTTGGACACTGAGTACTTTCAGAATGAATTTGCTTTGTACTGTGCTCATCTATTTATTTCTTGTGGGTCCAGAGGAAATGGAGACTAAAATAAGAACAACTGGGGCTGGAGAGATGGCTCAGCAGTTAAGAACACTGACTGTTCTTGCAGAAGACCGGAGTTTGAATCCAAGCACCCACATGGCAGCTAACAACTGTCCATAACTCCAGTTCCAGGGGATCTGACAGCCTCTTCTGTCCTCTGCGGGCATTGTATGACATGGGTGTACTTACCTACACGTAGGCAATACATGTATACACACAAAATAAAAATAACAGGCCGGGCATGGTGGCACAGGCCTTTAATCCCAGCACTCGGGAGGCAGAGGCAGGTGGATCTCTGTGAATTCAAGGCCAGCCTGGTCTACATAGTGAGTTCCAGGACAGCTGGGGCTATAGGGAGACCCTGTCTCAAAAAGACCAAAAAATAAATAAATAAAAAATATTTAAAAAAAGAACAATTAAGTTTTCAAACTTCTTTATAATATGTTCATGCTGCCAAGTATGCATGCATCTACAACCCCAGCACTTGGAAAACAGAGGCAAGAGGATTCAGGGCTAACTTAGGCTACATAGACATTATCTAAAGACAATAAACAAAGAGTATGTTCATATAAGCATTTATACTCACTGAGGAAAATTCCAAGGCTGTGTATAGAAACCTAATTCACATTTCTGTTCCCTTTCTCACTGTGTGTGCACCTGTGGTTAAAGTGAGTATATTGGTGTATGCATATATGAGTGTGCACACAGAAGCCAGAGGATGAAGTCAGGTGTCTTCCTCTATTGCTCTCCATTATTTTTTCTCTTTTAATGTTTTTTCTTTTGAGACAGAGTTTTCCTGTAGCCCTCGATGGCCTGGAACTTCCTATACAGACCAGGCTGGCCTGGATGTCACAGGTATCTGCCTGACTCTGCTTCCCAAGTGCTAAGATTACAGCTATGTGCCACCACGCCTGATTCTTTAAAAAAAAAAAAAAAATGTGTGTGTGAGAGAGACAGAATGTGTGGACGTCAGAAGACAGTTTGTGAGAACTGGTCCTTTCCAAGGACTGAATTCAGGCTGTGAGGCTTTGTTAAACCATCCCTCAGCCCTCCACCTTATTTTTTGAGACAGGGTCTTCTCACTGAACTGGAAACTTGTGGTTTTTGGCTAGGCTGGCAAGCAAGTGAAGTCCCAAGATCTGCCTGTCTTCACCCTCAATTTTAAGAGTTATAGCATGCATAGCCATGCCTGCTTTTTACGTAGGTACTAGGGATTTGAACTTAAGTCCCTATGTTTGCATACTGAGCCTCTTAAATACTGAGCCATCTCTATTTTTAAAAAATATTTTTATTTATTATTTTTATGTGTATGAGTGTATTGCCTGCATGTATGTGAGTGCACCTGTGTCGTGCCACGGAGGTCAGAAGAGGGTTTTGGATTCCCTTGGAACTGGAGCAAAGGACAGTTCATAGCCGCCATGTGGTACTGGGAATCGAACCCGGGTCCTCTGCAAGAACAGTCAATGCCATTTTTAAGGAATAATAAGTCACCATATGGTAGTTTGAATGAGAAATGTCCCCCATAGGCTCATGTATTCAAACACTTGGTCCCCTGTTGGTAGTGCTATTTGAAGCAGTTTCAGATCCTTTAGGTACAGCCTTGTTTGAGACAGCATGTCACTGGGGGCAGGCTTTGAGTTTATAGCCTCACCCCACTGCTAATTTGTTCTCTTGCTTCCTGTTCCAGGTACTTGCTACTATATCTCCTGAAACACTGTGGACTCTCCCTCTGCTGCAACCGTAAGCTAAAATAAGCTTTCTTTCTTAAATTACTTCTGGTCGTATTTTATCACAACAGAAAAGTAACTAACATATAAAATATAAATAAGAAGTAAAGCCAAAGCTACACATGGTAGTACAGACCTATAATCCCAGCATTTGGAGATAAGGACAGGAATTAGGAGAATCTAGACAGGAAGACTGAGAGTATAAGACCATCCTGGGCTACATAGGTGAGACCTTGTCTCAAAAACCTAGCTACCCATTCATCCTTAACATGAAATAAAGTCAAGGATACAGTGGTTCATAAGGTGTATTTTTTAGGAATGGTAAGTAATTTTTGGTGCTGATAACACTAAGTTATCTCATTTACATAATGTTCGATAGATAATGTAGGAATTACCCAATGTTTAATGTAGACAGAACCAGCTTAGGTGAGGAAAGGCATAAAAGGCACTGTCTACTTCTCAAGGCAGCAGTGCGCTCCTTCACAGGGTATGTGAAACTCAAGGATGCTGTTTCTCTACTCAGTTAAGTCACACAGCAGTGGTGACGAAGGAGAATGTGGGCTACACACCAGCTACACCGTGCCTGTCAACTGAGAAGTTTGTATGTCTTACCTGGGAAGATTTTAATAGGACCTCAAAGACAGAGATGTCACATTCTCATTAGCTACTATCAAAGAAGAACTTAGAAAGTTCTGCCATGAAGCAAGAGGCAAAGAGAATCGGTTGTGCTACATTGGGGCCACAGATGATGCTGCCACCAAGATCATCAATGAGGTGAGGTGTCCAAGCCTCTGGACCACCATATCCCTGTGGAGAAGATCTATGAGAAACTGAAGAAGACAGCTAGATCTGCAAGCTAAAACAAGCAGATTGTCCTGAGCACAGTGGACCTGAAGACGCTCCAGGTGAAGCTGAAGAAGATCCTGACCGACAGTAAAAAACAAAAATTTTACTGTATTTTAATCCTGGGTTTGTTCGAAGCAATCTTTTTTTTCGTCTTTGTGACAGGGTCTCCCTGTAGCCCCAGCTGTCCTGGAATGCACTATGTAGATCAGGCTGGCCTTGAACTCACAAGCCAGCTGATACCCATGGTGGCCCATGCCTTTAATCCCAGCACTTGGGAGGCAAAGGCAGGTGGATCTCTGTGAGTTCAAGGCCAGTGTGGTCTACATAGTAAGCTTCAGGCCAGCTGGGGCTAAAGAGAGAACAGTCTCAAAAAGACCATAAAAGAAACAACAAAACAAAACAAAAAACACCATAAACTACAGGTATAAATTCAAGATATACTCAGATATTCTTAAATATGAAAGGCTACTTAGGAATTTGGGCAGGCAGAGTCCTGGAGGAAGGTGTTATTTACAGGCAGGCTTAGAACAGACAGAAAAAAAAACAAAAATCAAAGACAACCTCAGCAGCTGCAAGGCCGATGCATATTCTTCTGATTCCCATACGTTCTTTTCTAAACATGTGCTATACAGCTCTCTGATCTGTAAATGAAAAATATATTTATGAAGAATCAAGTCATCTAGTGTTTGTACCCTATTAGGCAAAAATCATACATGGTCAGTATATAGAAAACTCTGTTATCAATAAACAATTTCTTTTTTGGCATGTATTATATGGATCAGAAACTAGAAAAATATAATTTACATAAAAGTAAAATGAGGCTACAATTGGTAATAAATGATAGCACAAGTCACTTTACAATAAAACCATTTAAAAGTTAAAAGATTCAATAACAGAAATTAGCAGATCTCACATAGATCATTCTGGCACTCTGTTTTTTATTTTGCTGTTGTTGCTGTTGTTCTGAGATGGGGTCTCCATATAGTCCTAGCTGGCCTGGAACTAGACTAGGCTGGCCTCTATTTCACAGAGATATGCCTGGCTCTGCCTCCCAAGTACTGGGATTAAATTCATGTTACAATCACACCTGGCATAATTTTTGCATTGTTATATTTGATCTCTAAAACTCTAGTTAAAGATCTGAAATTTAAGAATTCTTCCATTAACGGACTCTGATATGAACAACTGAAAACTGGTTCACTGTCTAGAACTTGTAATGCTAACTACTCTTGCTTTTACTTCTCCTTCACATCCCTTATTCACCATCAAGGACTTTCTTTTCTCCCTACAGTTAAGAGTTATGCAATTTGGGAGTCTTTCAGACAGACACTGAAGGGGGTACCCAATGGCCTCACTCTGTATGTCCTTGTTCAGCATGGAAGAAACCAGAGCAGTCTGCATCCCGATTCCTTATCTGCAAGTTGGGTAACCCCCGAGGATGATGGTGTGATAAGAATAGGAGGTAGGAACTGGCTAGGCAATTAGGGTTAAAAAAATCCAAAGTAGCCAGTTTCTTAGCTAAAACTCACAATGTCCTTGGGCCTACTCTGCTCCAAAGGCCAAAAATGTCAAAAGTATTTGGTAGCTCTTATCTAATCCTTAAAAGATTTTAGGGTTACCTCTTCAGAGGGCGGACTGTTAAGAGTAGCAAAAAGCTTCATTAAAAAAAAAAAGAAAGAAAAAAAAAAAGAAGAGGGGGCTGGAGAGATGGCTCAGTGGTTAAGAATACTGGTTGTTCTTGCAGAAGACCCGGGTTCGAAACCCACCCACATGGCAGCTAACAACAGTCCGTAACTCCAGTCCCGGGGATCTGACAGCCTCTTCTGACCTCCGCGGGCAATGCATGACACGGGTGCACTTACCTACATAAAGGCAATACATGCATGCACATAAAATAAAAATAATAAATAAAATTCAGAAAAAAAAGAAGAAATAGTACATGAAGTTAACAGAAAAAAGTGATGGGGAGATATGGGAGGAGTTGGAGGGGAGGGAGTGGGCATGGATTTGATCACCTTATATGCATGTATAAAATTCTCAATAGTTAAAAATAAATAATAAATGAAGAATTCTTCCATTAACATAGGCTCACAGGTTTAGGGTATGACACAAAGGTCAGCTGAATTCTTCCATTAACATAGGCTCACAGGTTTAGGGTATGACACAAAGGTCAGCTGAGCATAATTTTGCAAGGAGCAGAAGTACTGTATCTCTCTTAATTCTTTGTGCAATGCAAAGCTAACGATTAAATATTCTCAAGCAGATTTTCCAGTTCCCCACAAGCAGAGAACCAGTTCTCCCTGTAGAGGTGGAGAAAAAAGTGCCAAAATAAGAAGGTTTGTATGTTGGAGCACGGAGCACAAATATATCATAGAGGAAACAATTCCCCTGGGATTTATGTAGCCATTTCTAGCTGTGATTTTCAGAACAAAAAAGTTTCAATTACTAGTTATGTAAACAGTTGGAATCGTTTGTGCTCTTACTATAAGATCTGGAACCATATTAAGTGCTACAGAAACCAATGCAAGAAAGTACAATTATTTCTACTTTTCAGATTCCAAGTAAGTCTTATTTACCTGTCGACCCAGTGGGTACTTGGGAAGAGAAGAGGTAAAATTATGAAGACATCTCAAAATCAGGAAGTACTTCATATGGTAAACATGCAGGTTTTCCAGTAATGATTGAGTTTCCTCCTAAAAAACCACAGAATACATTATTAATATGCAAGGCAATAAACAAAATTAAAAATGACTTCAAGGATATTTAATTTCTAGAAAACAGTTGAGTATTTAGAACTACAAACTAGTCCCCTTAATTCACAAAATCTTTAAATATACATCAAATCCAGGACACCAGCTAGGTAACTTTTATTTAGGATCAAGTCTGGCTATATGTTTTATACATATCAGAGTTGACACTGTAATTTAGTGTCTTGCTATCTCTAGCATCACAATATCCTTCTGCCCACCCACCAATTACACATGTAATAAAGTACTTTATCCTCTCTCTGCCAATATCAGTCACCTATTGTGGGCTACGGGGAGGCACAATTTTCCTTTACCTCATTGAAATAGTACACTGTTGTACTATTGGCCATCAGTTCAACTGGGTGCCTCTGTAATTTTAATCTAATGGTCTCATGACCATGAACAAAGAAAATACTGTGTAGCCATTTACTGTTTATACTTAACAGCTATGTGATTCTTTCCTGGATGCTGTCACCCAGGGATTACATCTAATGTACTTTATTACTGACAGAAAAATGATAATGAAGATGATGAAATTAAATGACTTAGAATTCCTTCAAATGTTAAGTAATTTTTGGTGTCGTTCCTACTTAGGTGCCAACCATCTTTTTTGAGACAGGGTCTCTCATGAGATCTGAGGTTCGCCAACTGGACTAAGGTGGCTGTACAGCAAGCTCCAGGGATCTGCCTGTCTCTACCTCCTCACTGCTGGGATTAGAAGTACTTGCTATCATATCCAGCTTTTAACATGGGTGATGGGACTTGAACACCGGTCCTCATGCTTGAGTGCAAAGCACTATACCAACTGAGCCAACTCCCTAGCCCTACTTTCTGGTACTATATTTTCTAAGCATACCTTAGGTTATCAGAAGGATACAGGAGTAATAAACTATTTGGGGAATAAAATGGGAATATTGAGAGTAAAGAATATAACTTCAAAGATTTTATTAATGACGTATAAAATTTGGTCTTTTTACTTTAATCTCCTAAATAAATTTACTCTTTCAAGGAACAGTAAAATTCACTTTATATTAATAAGGAAAGGCAAACCAAGTATTTATTGCTGCTCATGCCTGTAATTCTAAAACTTGGGAGGCTAAAGTAAGATTGCTATGTTTGAGGCCAGCCTGAGTTACCTAGGAAATTCCAGCTAGGCTTGGGCTATAGTTTAAGTCCCTGTCTCAATAAATAAACAAATGGCAAGTTCACTATCTGTCCCAAGGTTTCATTTTCAGAAGTCTAAGAACACAATCTTTTTACTTTTTATAGTGTTTTTAACTCAAAAATTGTTCTTACTGGCATCTATTTCAGGTTGAGTATATCCCTTCCTCACTTCATGTTCCTACCTTCCCTGTTCTTCTACCTACCACTTCCTGTTAGTATGCTGGTTCCCTGGCAAATTTCATAATGTATGTATTTGATATATAATACACATAGATGATTTCACAAGGCTATATAAAATCCTGGAAAAACAAATGAGGGAAAGCATAGGATATCTGTTTTTCTTAGATTGGCTCAATTCTCTTAACCTGACTGTTTTCTAGTTCATCCATTTTTCCATAAACAACAAGCTTCATGCTTCATGGCTTAAAAAATTCTATTCTAGGGGCTAAAGAGATGGCTCAGCTGTTAAGAGCACTGACTTCTCCTGCAAAAGACCCAGGTTCAAATCTCAACACCCACATGGCAGATAACAACTGTCCATAACTTCAGTTCTAAGGGAATCAAGATCCTCTTCTGACCTCCGAGGGCACTGCCCAACACGCAGGCAATACACACATATACATAAGATAAAAATAGATGAGAACAAAATCCTCCATTCTGTATACATGTCACCTTTGCTGTATCCATTCCTGTTGACCATCTAGGTCGACTTCATAACTTAGCTACAATAATTAATGCTGTAATAAACACTGATGAGTGCTATGTTGACCTTAGTCAAATACCAGGAGCGGTCCACTAGGTCACAGTGTATCTATCTCTAGTTTTCTTTTTCCTTGGTTATGTCTTTTTCTGGCTTTGGTGTCAGTGTCATATTGGCTTTGTAAAAAGAGCTTGGTAGTATAGCTTTCTTTTATATATCATGGAACAGTTTGAGAAACACTGATATTATTTCTTCTTTGAAGATCCATGAGAACTCAGTGGTGAACCCATCTGGGGCTAGGCTGTTATTATTTGGGAGATTTTCTACTATTATTATCACTTAAATCTCATTGCCTGTTACAGATCTGTTTAAACCATTCATCTCAATCTGGTTTACTTTTGGCATGTCTTCTACAAATTAATCCATTTCTTTCGGACTGTTCAATTTAGTGGTGTGTAAGTTTTTAAGGTACATCCTAATAATTTTCTAAATTCCACTGGTATCAGTTGTAATGGCTTCCCTTTTAGCTGCAATTTTATTAATTTGGGTTTCCTTTAGTTTGGGTATTTCAGTCAATCCTGTTTACATTTTAAAAAACAAACTCAATAATTCTTTGTGTGTGTGTGTGTGTGTGTGTGTGTGTGTTTCCTTCCTCTATTTCCATTTCATGTATTTCTGCCCTAGTCTCAATTATTTCTATTTACTAATTTTGGGATTGTTCTTATTTTTTGCAAGATCCTAAGAGATATTATTTATTTGATAATTGAGATTTCTCCCCGAGTTTTTAAGTAAGCATTTTTAACTGTTTCCTCTTAGAACACCTTTCACTGTATCTCATAGGTTTTGGTATGTTTTCATTTTCATTTAATACTTGGATATTAAATTTTCTTTCTTGATTTTTTTTAAAAGGACTCATTCTTCAATAGTGTATTGTTTAATCTCCATGAGTTCCTGTATGTTCTACATGTTCTATTGCTATTGTAGTTTTGTTACATTGTAATGAGTCAGAATATAAGAATTATGTGCTGGTAGGATGGCTTAACAGGTGAAGGTTATCTGCTATGCAAGCCTGAGGACGTGAGTCTGAGTCTTGAATCCACAGTTGAAGAGAACCGACTCCTGAAAGGTGTCCTCTGACCTTCACACGTGTACTGTGGCATGTATACACTGACACACAGAATAGGGGTTTTTCAGGTGTTTTTTGTTTGTTTTTGGTCTTTTTTGAGACAGGGTCTCCTTGTAGCCCTAGCTGATTTGAAACTCACTATGTAGAGTAAGTTGACTTTTATACATCATGGAACAGTTTGAGAAACACTGCCCTTGAACGCAGAGATCTGCCTGCCTCTGCCTCCTGAGTGCTAGGATTAAAGGCGTGCACCATCACACCAGGCTTAGAATAGTTTTAAAATATAAGAACTCATTTCTATTTTCTTTTATATATTAAGATTTGCTTTGTGTTCTAACACATGATCTATTTTAGAAAGTCCCATGGGTTGCCAAGAAGAATGTACATTCTGCAGTGTCTTGATGAAATGTTCTATAAATGTCTATTAAGTCTATTTGCTCTATAATGTAATTTAATTCAAATGTTTCTCTGGTTGCTAGGATAAAATATTAATTGGTTAAAGTAGAGTGTTGAAGTCACTATTACTGTGCTAGGGTTAATCTCTGGTAGTATTTGTCCTATGAAAATAGGTATATTCATATTTGATATATATGTTCATAATTATAATATCTTTTTAAAGGACTGTTCTCTTAATCAGTAGGGCATGACAATTATCTCTTCTGACTAGTTTCGTTTGAAGTTTATTTTTGTCAGATGTTGGATCAACAATTTCTGCTTGCTTCCTACTTCTATTTGCTTAAAACAAATTTTTCCCATCTTTTACCCTTAGTAGCATATGTTTTTGATGGTGACGTGCATTTCTTGGTGAGAACAGTTATTATTGAAATATGCGTATTATTTTCTGTCATTCTGTTGATGTTTTAGTGTTTTCCTATTCTCTTAACCACTTCAAGACTGGCTTATTCTTTGTGGCACCATGGATGTGTTTATTTTTTTTTTAGTCTGAAGAACTCCTTCAAGTATCTTATACAGAGCTGGCTTTAGTGATCATGAATTCCTTTCATCTATTTTTATCATAGAATGTTTTCCTTTCTCCTTTAATTATAATAGGTGGTTTGGCTGGGCATATAGTAACCTGTGTTGGCAGTTATCTTTTGGAACTTGAAATACATCATTCCAAACCATGGTGGCTTTAAAAGTTTTTATTGAGAACTGTCATTCTGATAGGCCTACCTTTATCTATGACGTGTTGCTTCTCTTCTGCCACTTGCAATATACTTTCTGTGTTCTTTATGTCTTTGAAAATACTGTTCTTACCTCTATCTTGTTTTCAAGTTCAGATATTCTGTTCTCTCCCTGATCCATTCTATTGGTGAGGCTTCCCATGGTGCTTTTTATTTGACTTTCAGTGTTTTCATTTCCAGTACGTCAGTTTTTCCTTTGGCATTTTTGTTTAATGAATTTCTCTTTCCTGTCTTTCCAATCTTGACTTTCTTATTTCACTCAACTGTGTTTTCTTGGAATTTGTTCAGAAGTTTGTACCTTCTCTAATTTCTCTGAATATACTTACAATTATACTTTAGAGATTTTTGGGGGGGTTCTACCTACTGTTGGATTAATTTTTGGAGAAGTTACACTTCCTTAGGTTTCCATGTTGTTTTTGCTTTGGAACTTGTACATATGGTGTCAGATCTTGTATAAATGAATGAATGAATGAATTAATTAATTAATTTAAGATCACCCTTATTCTTTCAGAAGATGTGTTTGCTCTGCTGAAGAAGTATTTCATTAGTATAGGATAGGGTTGAAATGTTATTTTCCTCTGCTTGTTAGGTGGTCGAAGCACCAGTCTCAATCCCCTGTACTCTCTTGCAATTAGAATACTGACTGCAAAAACAATCACTATCAGTGGGTAGGCCCTCAAGGACAGTACAGTAAAAGTCAAATAAAAAATTACTTCCAGTGGCATGTTAGAAAGGAAGAGGTCACTGATCGCAGTATGCGCACTAATGTATT